TCTCGTAAAACAATAGAAAATCGAGAGCAACCAAGTCAACACTCGAGGAGTTCAAAAATAAAATAGTAAAAGAAAAGGTCAGCACTCGAGACTTTGACGCTGAGGTTTTTACTAGTGCACTTACAGCGGGCCTGTGCACGAGCACGGCCCACTGGTCAGAGGAAGGGTGGGAATCCAGTTAATGGTGGGCTAGGCGGTTAGGGCATCTTCAGCCGCGCCCCCAGGAAGGCCTCCCTATACGTTTTTTTTTTGCGCTGGAGCGAGACTCGCCTCCTTTTTGAGGCCGAGTACCCGGTCCCGCCGGACATGCGGGTACCCGGGGCGTGGAGGATCAACGCCGGCGGCGTGTCGGTGCCCCCGATACCCACCGGCGCGGCGCGGCGTGCGGAGATCGCACGCATCCGCTCGTCCCTGCCGCATGCGGCGAGGGAGGGGCCACGGTACGTCCCCGACAGCCCGCTCTGGGAGCCCTACTTCCGCCGCCGTCACGCCGAGCAGCTCGAGGCCACCAATGGCGTCGAGCCCTCCGGCAGGCTCAACGCCGTCGGCCGGCGTCGGTGGTGGGGTGTGCCCAGGCGCACGTTGGAGGCCGTCCTCGAGTACATCGAGGGCGGCAACACGTCGCGCCTCGAGTACCCCGCTCCCCCGTCCTTCACACGCCGTCGGGGAAGCTCCTGGACCCCGAGGCACATGGAGACCGGGGGGTCCTCCTCCTCGTTCGGCGGCTCCCCCTGCCTTCACCTCCGCCCCGTCAAGGCGGAGCCCCAGGGCGCGCCTGTCAGCGCGCGCACCCGCAGCTCCGGCGTCCGCATCGGCGACAACGCCTCCCCCACCGGTCGCTTCGTCCTCGTCGAGCCCAAGCCGGAGCCCAAGCCGGAGCCCGGTCTCCCCGTGGAGTACGAGGAGATAGCCCGGCGTGACTTCTCCGACGAGGACGCCCTGCGGTGGGCGCGGGACGACTACCTCCGCGACGAGATGGTCCGGCAGCGCCGGGCCCTGGAGGAGATCGCCGCCCGCAAGCGTGGGCGCGAGGACGAGCACGGCGTCATGGTCCTCGACAGCGACGACGACGACGACGCCTCCGGACCGTCCAACCCGCCGCGCCAACCGGGGGAGGGATGCAGCAGGGACGGCGGAGGCGTCGGTGGGGGCGACGACGACGATGACGGCGGTGACTACACGCGGTTCTACCGCCTCCTCGGCATGTAGAACCGCGTGGGCGGGCGGCGAGGCGGGCGGCGAGGGAGACGGCGGGGGTAGCCCGTGGTAGTTTTTCCTTTTTTGTAAAATATGTTTAAATTTGAACGAATTCAAACGTGTTTGCGTTGTGTTTGCGCCGAATTTAAACATTTTAAAAACCCGTGAGGGCCGCGACTGAGGGGCATCACGTCCCCAGTGCGCGGTTTAGCGCCGGTGCGCCTTCGGGGGGCAATTTTTTACCCCTCCTGAAGGGCCAACGGGTGGAGATGCCCTTAGCCATGAGCGAAAGATAAGCATATCTCCTCCTCTCGCCGGAAATAATGGCGTCCCCACCACCGGCCACAAGGATCAGGCGATGGCTCCGGAGCTGCCTTCCCATCCTATCCAGCGCATCTCATCCGGGTTTGTCGCTTGATTGGCCCCTCGACTTTTCCATAATTGCGTTATTGATCAGAGGGTCAGGCCATGGCTAATTTGCTCCTTTTTCTTTTCCTAGTGGAAGAAAGAGAGATGCCTACTCTTCTTCTGGTTCGTGAGAGCAACGGTGGTTGATACGGAGACATGTGAACCTTGATCTTTATCATCATTAGAGCTGGTACCAGGAAGACGAGACACGCCCACCTACGAACCACGAGAAAAATAGTTCAATATTCGCTGCTCCAAAATAATTAACCTCTTCGAAATAGGCTTTTGCCCCGCTACAAAATAACCGAAGTTCTAATTTTATGTCAAGTCAAACTAGCTCAAGGTTGACTAACTATATAAAAAAATGTGCTAAGATCTACGAAAACCAAGTACCCATAGTATGAAAAAATATATTTCTATACAGAATCTCATGAAACTAATTTGATGTTTTTATGTTAAAATGTTTTTTCAGATTCGCTAATTAAAATTATAATCTCAATGAGAATTAACAAAATCTCATCTAACTCCTACACTACTTGATTAACCAAAGGAAAAAAATCCATATAAATCTTCGCGTAAAATCGAACGGCATAGGAGTTAGATGAGACATATTTGTCTCTCATCTAGACGAGAGCTAGATAATTTTTTATACACTTGATCAAAGTTAAACAAGATTGACACATGACAAACCAAGAACTTCAGTTATCTTGGAACAGAGGTAGTATGATGTGGTCTCCCAGCATAACTGATACGATGAATGTGTTTAAAACTAAACTATACAATTGTATATGTGATAAAAGGTAGTGAAAGTAGTTCAAATATGCTCACAACTTCGCTATATCAAACTGTATATATATGTGACAAAGGGAAGTGAAAGTAGTATAAATATGCTCACAACTTCGATCTTACACTATTTTTTTAGGTTGAGTTTAGTCTCACATCGATTATGAAAAAAAAGAGCACGACTCATGAAGGGTGGCAGTGGGCCCTTCCAGTAGACTCGTCTTTTACGGAGAGGGCATATATTTTTTTTAGAACGAAGACTCAATAAGAGCCCGATTTTGAATTAACAAAGCCATCAACCGGCCAGGATTACAAGAACACCAACTAACAAGGAAAGCAAGAAGAGAACCAAGCGACTGGTACAAGGAGCAAAGCGAAACAGACTCATAAAAGGCAACAACGATAGCAAGAACACGCCATGCTGCCGCCAACACCCTACAGGACGACCTACACCAACCGGACAAGCTACGGACTTGAGAGGATGCACCACCGCGCAAGCTTCGTGATCGTAGCCAAACTCGAAGACAGCACTGACACTCCTCTGGAACTGCCACTGCAAAGGGCCCCTGCCCTCCCATCCTGGCTCGAAGGATGCCGCACCGGCAGGCGACAGCTCGGTTCACCCTAGAACCCAGAGGAAGACGCCCAAGCTGCACATGAAGAAAGAACTAGGAGCAGACCTGCTAGCTCAGAGCACACCATTCCGAGCACCGTCGTCGTCCGCGGTTAAGCCACACCGAAGGGCTAGAGCTGTCGGCCACAGTCGCAGCAACAAGGGCAACATCGATGAGCCACCGAAGAAAAGGCAGTGAAGCGCCGAGCCAAGCTGCTACCCTCCACCATCACACCCACAACCCGACTCTCTCGCCGCCCCTGCGATCCCCGGACTGCGCCTCCAAGAAGGAACACGACACGGATGTGTCGTCGCCGCCCGAATCAGGGGACCTAGGCTTTCACCTAGCAGGGAACGGAAGGAGGGGGGAAGGATCCTCACCACAGCCTCCAGGGAGGGGTACGACGCCCAGGGCGTCGTCTGCGATGTGGTTGCGCCGGCCAGGGGTTTCCCCCGGAACCAACCCTCTCGACGAGATCCGCGCTGCCGACGCCCGGGAGGACCCGAATCCGGCGATGGAAGGAGCAGATCGGGGCGGAGAGGATGAGATGCATCTGGCGACGGCAACCGCGCAGGGGAGGCCGCACACCAGCGACCGTGGACCGACACCTCCTCGTCCCCCGCGAGATTGAGGGAGGCGCCTCACCAGCTCCGGCCGTGGTGGCCCGCCGCCCGGGCCACCCGGCGCTCTCCGCCCGGGCCACCCGGCGCTCTCCGCCCGGGGCCGCCGCCCCGGATGCCGAGCCCTCCACGCTATGTGGAGCCGCCGGATCCCCTGCCGCCACCTTCATCGGTGTCGAGCGCATGCCGGCGCACACCTCTGGCGGCGGCGAAGGGGAAGGGGAGGGGGGAAGGAGGGGTGCGGCGCCGGCGATTTAGGGTTTCCCCCGAGTCGCCTCGGTGGAGACGTCGCGGGGGCGGGGGAATCGGAGAGGGGGCATATATAGTGCGGTGCTTTGTGATTGAGGCTTCACGAGCTGAGATGAGACGCTACTATACCAATCGTTTTTTATGGACTGTAATGCTAGTGCTGAATTTTCCACCATTTGTACCAGATAGTTATCTTATAGCATTCCCTTCAAAAAAAGTTATCTTATAGCATTCAGACAAATATGTATTGTAAATCTCAAGATATACAAGTGGTACGTGAATATTGTTTGAGAGCTGCTCATCGTATTTTCAATCAATGGTACCTACAACTTCCTTTTTGGCTCAGACATCTCTTAATAAGAGTATCCTAACTAGTATTATGCATGTCAACTAAGGCTGGTCACAATAAGAAGTACTACCCCACCGTTCATAGTATGATAACTTGATCGTATTACAATGACTTTATTTATTGTCATGCATAACACACACTAGTACATCATCTAATATGACACACTATCATATCATGACACTCAATCCTCTCTTTTTTCATTTTATTGTATGCCGCCTTAGTAAAATGCCTAGTTGACATGCATGATACTTCTATTGTGACCGGCCTAAGCATCTCTATAAGATATTAAATAAAAATATATTTGAGTATATATTATGATACCTTAAATGATATGCTATTACGTGTCATGTATGACAATAAATAAGATCATCTATGATATTAACTTATGATACTAAATTATGTGTGGCTACTAAACTACATAAACTTTTTATTTTATAGTCAACCGTGAAAGAATAACCATGGAAATAATCTTAGCAATTTCAGTTTGCAATACTCTTTTTTTAGTAAGGATTTGTTAGAAATCTGTTCTAGCAGTAACTTTCAGCAACTACCACAGTCTACTCAACTCAGGCCGGTAATCCCTGTTGTGCAAAACCACAAGAGCTTAACCACCCAGACCACAAATCCCTCCTCACTCCTCCAGCTCCTCCTCCCCTTTCCCTTCCTTCCAGCGCAACGGAAACGCCTGACCCGACGCGCTCCTCATCGTCGTCCCCCTCCCCTCTCGCCGTCTCCTCCCTCGCCCTCACCCGAGCCTTAGCCCTAGACCTCCCCGCGGGGATGGGCGGCGTCACCTCGACGGTCGCGGCCCGCTTCGCCTTCTTCCCGCCCAGCCCGCCGTCCTACGGCGTCGAGCCCCTGCCGCCGCCCGATGCCGCCGGGGCGGGGGCGGCGGCCGGGGAGGCCAAGGGGAAGGAGGGGAGCGTGGTGGTGGAGCTCACGGGGGTGCCGCGGAGGGCCAACGTGGAGGCGCGGCGGCTGCGGACCAAGCGGGGCACGGACGTGGTCGCCATGTACGCGCGCCAGACCGGCGCCAAGCTCACGCTGCTCTACTCCCACGGCAACGCCGCCGACCTGGGCCAGATGTACGAGCTCTTCGTCGAGCTCAGCGCGCACCTCAACGTCAACCTCATGGGGTACGCACGCACGCTGGATCGGATTGGGTTAGACTTTAGATTGGGGGCGCCGTGGTTCTGGATTCGGGCGGTAACCCTGGATCTCCCGGGCCGCGTTTCTCTGGATCAAAGCTACGCTTTTTACCGGGCTTTAGACAACGCAAGTGGTACTCCTCGGTGGAAATGTTGGGATTGCGTGTCAGTAGGATGGTCGCTTATTGGACTGGACCAAAAATGCCAACTTTTCTTCTGGTATTGCGTGATTGGGTTCAGGTTTTGGTACATGAGTATGAAGCTGTGCTGGGGCAGTGCTCTCTGGTGTTGGATTTGCTAGCTCTAGTCTAAATTAAACCAATCAGTACTAATCTGTGCGTTCATTCTCCATTGGTGCTTGGCTTCATCTTGTCATGTGATGCGGCATTTGTCACTGATACGTCTGCTAATGGGTGTCTAGTTATTTTGTTCCTCCTCAAATTCTTACTTATGATTAGAATAAACTACTACTGCCGAATTGTGAGTCATTTTGTGGTTTTTGTAGATTGTTGGGAATGTCTGCTTTAAGTGGCCGTGAGAAGTATCTGGTAGTTGTTCAGTCTTGGGTAGTAAGGGGGATATTTGGATTAAAAGTGCCTGTCTGTGATTGGATAATCCATGATTCATGTGATTTTATGGAGGTGGCCCAAGACCTGATTTTTATTAGTTACTATTTTTGGCCAAAATTTGATGGATTTGTTCAGATTAGGTGTTAAGTACATGCTACCACTTTTAGAACATTTCACTAATAGAGTCTAGTAAGGAAAAAGCGGGAAATCAATACTTGATGAAGCTTTCCACAACATTATTATGCAAGCACACGTGTCCGGTCCACAGCCCTCATAAAAGCATAAATACCAAAATAAGCGATCAATGTTGTCATCTTCCTAACTGTTGTTTAAATATATCCATTTTTTGGGTTTAATTTCTTCTTTCGTTGGAGTTTTAGCCCATTGCTTCCTATGCATTGGATGGAGAATATTAGCTAGGTAGGTTTAGTCTAATGAACCTGTTGATGACAAGAGGTTTGAGTTTCTGATGAGAGAACCGTTGATTCATTCAGTTGATGTAGAAACTCTAGCAAATTTAAAATTCTTTGGTGGAGTGATTGTCTTGTCCTTCACTGCTTTTATTAAACTCAAGATTTTTGTTCTTCACCTAGCATGGTTATAACATTATCATATTTAGTTAATCTTTGTGTTATATGTCTGTTCTCTGAACACACTTTTGTCCTTTATGGTGCCACTAGTTTTGGCGCAAGGCATTTTAAAAATGTTGAGCGTTTACATTATTACTAATATAACTTCAACATCACAGATGACTCCAGATTCCAGAAACGACCCCTGTGGTTTCAAAGCCCAGAGTAGATACAGTGAACACTACTGTGCCATTTACTCTATAAGCCTAAATACCCTTGCTTTATACGGTTTAAAAAATA